CCTGCCGCTGGATCAGGCGTTATGGGAGACGTTCCTGACAAAACAGAGGTTACACACACACACACACACACTAATATACACATACACACACACACACACACACACTAATATACACATACACACACACACACTAATATACACATACACACTAATATACGCATACACACACACACACACTAATATACTCATACACACACACACACACACACACACACACTAATATACACATACACACACACACTAATATACACATACACACTCACACACACACACACACACACTAATATACATATACACACACACTAATATACACATACACACTAATATACGCATACACACACTAATACACACACACTAATATACACACACACACATACACACACTAATGTACACATACACACACTAATGTACACACACACCGTTCGATTATGCTAATGAGCTTGATTGTGATTGGTCAGGGATCTGTACGCTCAGTTTTTGCGAGAGATGATCATTCAGCCGGGAATCGCTAAGGCAAACCTGGGTGTGTCTCGAGAGGATGTGACTCTGGAGGATCACGTGAGTCTGAGCACATCACAACAAACGAAACACTGAAGAACAGTCCAAGAGAGAAGACTGCAGCCTTAATCCTGACTCTTGTGATGTTCTTCTCTTGTCTCAGCCTCTGAATCCGAACCCGGACAGTCAGTGGAACACCTACTTCAAAGACAACGAAGTTCTGCTGCAGATCGATAAAGATGTCAGGTGACTGATGAGACACGAGACATAAATCACATCATTCGGCAAACGAACGGCATCTGTTTGACCCTTCACAACGAGGAACAAATTAAAGCGACAGTTCACCCAAAAATCTAAATTCTGTCTTCATTTGTTGTTCCAAACCTGTATGTGTGTGTGTTGCTGGTAGCCATTGTTTTAATGTTTTTCCCACCATGTAGTCAATGGCTACCAGCAACTGTTTGGTTACCAGCATTCTTCAGAAAATCTTCTTTTGTGTTCAACAGAGGAAAGAAACTCAAACAGGTTTGGAAGAACATGAGGAAGAGTAAATGATGGCAGAATTGACATTTTTGGGTGAACTATCGCTGTAATACTAACGAACACACAACCATAAACCAAGACTCTCACTGTAACTCTTAATACGAAAATTGCGTGTGATGTAAGAATAGATGTCGATCTCAGACGATCCTTGATTCATTCGAAAATATTGAAGCGTGTTTTTGCATTTTACCTACTTCTGCATTTGTTGTTTCAGATTAACTGTGTGTGTGTGTGTGTGTAATGTCTGCCATCAGACGGTTGTACCCAGACATGGCGTTCTTCCAGCGGCCCACAGACTTCCCCTCTCAGCTCATCCTGGACCCCGAGAACGAGTACGAGACGTTACGGAGACGCGTGGAGCAGACGACTCTCAAAGCCCAGACGGTGAACCGGAACCGCAGCGGCGTCACTAACGTGAGTGTGTTTCTGATTCATGCATGTGCTTTTGATGATGTGCATTGCGTTTTTCCAGCGGCCCACAGACTTCCCCTGCCAGCTCATCCTGGACCCAGAGAACGCGTACGAGACGTTACGGAGACGCGTGGAGCAGACGACTCTCAAAGCCCAGACGGTGAACCGGAACCGCAGCGGCGTCACTAACGTGAGTGTGTTTCTGATTCATGCATGTGCTTTTGATGATGTGTGTGTGTGTGTGTGTGCTCTGAGCAGGTGAGTGATCTGTGTGTGTGAGTGTGAGTGTGCATGTGTGTGAGAGTGTGTGTGATCCTGTAGAGCTCTCTGAACCTGCTAGTCAAAGGAATAGTTCACCTGGAAAGGTTACTCTGGTCATAACGCTTCTTCCAGCAGAAACTGTTCCTCTAGTGGTGTTAGAGCTGTGGTGTTCATCGATGATGGCTTGATTTCTTCACGTGTCCGTGTGTGTTTGATGTTTTGGATGTGGTTCAGGTGAGTTCTCCGGGGAAGGCGTTAAACCTGTATCCCTCTAACGAGTACGAGGTGTTACCGAACGGCTGTGAAGCGCACTGGGAAGTGGTCGAGCGGATTCTCTTCATCTACGCCAAACTCAACCCGGGCATCGCTTACGTTCAGGGCATGAATGAGATCGTGGGTCCCATTTACTACACCTTCGCCACAGACCCCAGCAGCCAGTGGAAGGGTGAGGCTTTGACTGCTGTCTGTAGTGACGCCCTGTAAGGGAACGAGCACGCGTATCATCACTGTCCCTGTTAGACAGATTCGACTGTGTGATTTAATGGCGACTCTCTCTGTTAATACAATAAATACATTGTGTTACAAAGAATAACATTATGGATCGTGAGATAATAAGTTGTAGTAAAATGCGTCTGAACAGCACGATCACCCAAAGCGCTCACAGATCTGACTGATCAACAATGAAATCTGCTGTTGTTTTCTGAGGGAGTGTATCGATGAGTGGCTTCAGCCTTTCATGAATGAGACACAGACACGTTCATCAAACACTGTTCTTCTGTCTGTAGAGCACGCGGAGGCCGACACGTTCTTCTGCTTCACCAGCCTGATGTCTGAGAACAGAGATAACTTCATCAAAAGCCTGGACGACTCTCAGTGCGGCATCACCTTCAAGATGGAGAGCGTCTTCTCCAAACTCAAGGAGAAGGACACGGAGCTGTACCTGAAGCTGGTGAGGATCAGGATGAGGCTAACGCCCACGCTTTAACCGCACGCACTCGCTGACGTCTGTCTGTGTGTCGCAGCAAGAGCAGAACATCAAGCCGCAGTACTTCACCTTCCGCTGGCTGACGCTGTTGCTCTCTCAGGAGTTCCTGCTTCCAGACGTCATCCGGATCTGGGATTCGCTCTTCTCGGATCAGGAGCGGTTCGAGTTCCTCATCCCTGTGTGCTGCGCCATGCTCACGTAAGATCTGGCACACAGACGGCTTCAAACCACAATATTCAGATGAGAGCAAAATTTGAACTGAATTGATCTGAATAATGAAACTATTGTTTTCTGTAGCGCTGACGGACAGCTGAAATTGACTTTTTCATAATTCATAGATTTTGCATCGTTGTTTCCTTGTTTATTATTGTGAATCTGCTTTGAAACGATCTGTACTGAATCAAGCACTATAGAAATAAATGTGTCCTCAGTAAGTTCACGCTGACTCCTTCTGTTCTTCATGTCTTTGTGCTTCTGCAGACTGATTCGAGATCAGTTACTGGCTGGAGACTTTACAACTAACATGAGATTACTGCAGGTAACACACACACACTCACACTCTCTCACACTCTCTCACACACACACACACACTCTCACACACACACACACACACGCATACACACACCGTCCTCCTAACATGCAATCTGCTGTTCTTCAGGATTATCCCATCTCTGACGTTCATGCCATCCTCATTAAAGCGAAAGAACTGCAGGACGGGTTGTAGCAGCCTTGCCCCAATAGGCTCCGCCTCCAGTCTGATGATTGACAGCAGTGCCGCCCATCTCACCCGGGTGGGATCCAGCATTTGCCTTTGTGTGATTGAGCGTTTGGTCTTACCGTCTCTCAGGTAGACATGAGTGTGTGTGAGTGTTTGTGAGACAGCGTGTGTGTGAGTCTGTGTGTGTGTGTGTTTGTGAGATGTGAGAGAGAGAGCGTGTGTGTGTGTGAGAGAGAGAGTGTGTGTGTGTGTGTGTGTGTGTGTGAGAGAGAGCGCGTGTGTGTGTGTGTGTGTGAGAGAGAGTGTGTGTGTGTTTGTGTGTGTGTGAGAGGGAGCGTGTGTGTGAAAGTGTGTTTGTGTGTGTGTGAGAGGGAGCGTGTGGTGTGTGCGCGCGCGCGCTCAAGCTGTTTATTGTTGCACTGAACGATTTTAAAGACTGACACACACACACACACTCTCTCTCACACACGCTGCAGATGGACTCCAGAAACACTCCCAAACTTAAATACTACAGTATAAATACGGAACAACAAAAGACTGGTCACCTGATGGTCTTTATACAGCTGTATTTATATCAGTGATTGTTTACCGTCTCTGTCTGTTTGTTTCGTTTATCACTTGATCACGTATCTTTCGTAAATGAACAAAACTGCAGTCGTGCAGATGGATGGAGATTCTCAGCGATTCTCCGCTTCATCTGTGAGTGAACTGAAGCCGAAAGTCGGAGCAGACGGCGGGTCACGTGACCGTGTGCTGTTCTGGAGAAGCTTTCCGGTCGCTCGGTTATTGAGTCTTCAGATGGCAGATGAGTGAGTGGATTCATTCAGGAACAGAGAGAAACTCCAGCATGAATGAATCAACACTACAGACCCGTCACTGATCTCAGATCAGCTCCCGAGTCTCTCACTCATCTGCAGATCAGACGGCTTTAGCATCCCATCATCCCTCTGTTTAGTGACATCATCAGTCTCCACTAATAATCTGCATTAATTGCTCCTCATGCGTTTCTTCACACTAATAACCGAGCGCTGGTGTTTCTCTGGGGGAAACATCTGATCAAACGTTGTGTGACTCGTTCGAATCGTTAGTGTTTTTATAAATCTGTTGATCGCTGCAGTTCTTTTTTTTAATGTCATGTTGTTTTGTATTTTATAGCTCAGAGGAGGTTGGGAATTGAAGGATCTTCTTTTAATCGGGGAATGTCTGGCCACACGTGTCTTTCTGTGATTGTATTCGTTCATTATGTTCATTTGAAAACCATGTTTTTTCTTTTGCATGTGAAGATGTTTTTGTATGAACGCATCGATAGTTCTTGCTGTTGTATATCAATGTTTTTACAGTGCTTGCGGATGCACAATAAAACAATTCAACCTTTAATTGTCTTTAAATCTCTTTAAAACACATTTCTGTAAAGCTGCGTACACACAGGCACAGAAGCGCTTCTGAAGCGTCCTCACACAGATTGTTTAATGCTGCTCAGAGGTGGCATAAGTGCATTTATACAGCAATTACAAAAGTATGCTTTGGTTCGCTGAGATGGGTCAGAGCAGGCATAATTAAATCTGGCTTGAGAAGATTTGTTGCTACGTTACATCGCGAGACTAAACACTTTGACCTTGTTTGCCAGTGCAGTACACATCTAACAGACTATATCCCACAATGCAATGTGCTTGTCATTTCCAGTATGATGACTGAAAAATATAAACAAGGTAATTGTGTATTTTTATCTCACAATTACGAGTTTATATCTTTAGTCAAGTCAAGTCACCTTTATTTATATAGCGCTTTTAACAATACAGATTGTGTCAAAGCAACTGAACAGCATTAATTAGGAAAATAGTGTGTCAGTAATGCAAAATGACAATAGTAAACACTCATTTTTCAGTTAAAGACAGTTCATCACTGAATTCAGTGATGTCAACATCCAGCTCAGTTTAAATAGTATCTTTGCAATCAA